AATGATAGCTCTCCTCACAGTGCTTGTAGATGCATACATATGCATACAGTACCATTTCTGGATGTCCCCCCCATTTTGTCAAAAACTCATGTATAGATAACGTACACATCATGAGTATGACTGCGTGACCGATCAGAAGTGGCCATTTTGCCAACCACAAGCGAAAGAGGACAGTTTCCATGTTTGATTGGAGGGTATTTTGCGGCTTTTTTTTTAAATACATGTTCATACTATTTGGATCCAGAAAAGATCCTGGTGCCAGATTGGTTGAGAATGGAAAGAATCGAATTGCTGGTTGGTGGTTTCGAACATGTTTTATTTTTCCATTCAGTTGGGAATTTCATCATCCCAACTGACGAACTCATATTTTTCAGAGGGGTAGGTCAACCACCAACCAGAATTGGCTTGTCGTTTTGGGGCATACTGGATTTGATCCGGGCACATCCCAACCTCCAAAAACCATCATGGTGACACCAATTACCCTCTGGTAAACTAACATAACTATGGAAAATCACCATTTCTAATGGGTAAATCAACTATTTCTATGGCATTTTCAATAACTATGTTAGTTTACCAGAGGGTATTGACAAATACGTTGCTGCTACCTGGGTCATTCTGCAGGCAATTTTTCGCAAGTATCTAACACAAACAAAAGAACATCGGGCCTAGTGGAGTTCATGATAATCCCATCATGGAAATCTCTACAGTAGTACCCTCCAATTGTCGAACATGGCACTGGACATGTACTTTGTCCAAAGAAAATTTACAGTTTGAAGTGCGTCTCAAATGATTTGGATCTCCAATGGATTTCCTTTCTTAAATGATCTTAAATGTTTGAATAGCATTGCGTTTTTTTTTCCAATGGTTTTCTCCATCTTTTGTTCCAATGATCTCCGTGGTTGTACCAGTCACCAGCGTCCATCTCAGGCGACGCTGGTCAGGCTCCAATGCTCTTGGAGATTCCTTTCACAGACAAGGCACTGCCGCGAATGGGGAGGTTATTTATTTTTTTTAATATGGGTATGGATCAATACCTATAGATACCATTTTTAGTGGGATGAACATCCATAAATCCCAGCTATTTTGATGTGAACTACAGGGGTACAAGGTTTTGACACACTGCCATTTTTTCTTCGAATCAAAACGTTGAAGTTAGATTGTTAGATATTGATCTGGGTAAATTTAATCACGACCTCACTGTTCTCCCTCACTGGAATCATGGTTAGTAAGGGAAATCATTCCCAAATGGCCTTAATTCAGGTTGGTGAATTATTATAATTTACCCAGATTGATATACATGTCATGTGGGTGGCAACAACACTTTCAATAAACATGGTAATCTTGCACTCTTCACATACTTGTAGATGTCCATTCATGTCATAATTCACCATATAATCCACCAGTCTGACCAGTGCGCCTTTTGAAATACCCTGGTTTCACTCGATCCGGAATGGATGGCTCAGGTCCTCAGCTTCAAAAAGATTATATCCTGCCAACTTCTCCGGAATGACCCCCACACTAAAAAAACATTACCAATTTAAGCTGCCATATACTGTATATATATATATATATATATGACGTAGTATAATCTATCCACATATCATCTTTAGTTGTATCATGTGTATCCCATATACATTTCGTTGTATCATGTTATATCCTCATGTCAGTTATCCATATACCATGAATAAATATATATATATATATATATCATATATATATTTATCATATATATATAATTATATATCATATATATATATGATATATATATATCATATATATATATATCATATATATATCATATATATATAGTCTTTATATATATATATAATTATATATCACATATATATATATATATCATATATATATATATATATATCATATATATATATATAATTATATATCCTATATATATATAATTATATATCATATATATATCATATATATATATATTTATCATATATATATATATAATTATATATCATATATATATATATCATATACCAGCTAAGCCTAATACATATAAATTATTACGAATTCCAAAAAAGGTAATATTTTTTGGGAGTTGTAGAAATTCTTGCGATTTGACAAATCGTTGCGAGAATTAGGTTTGGATACTTAAGAATGCATATTTTAGTTTATTTTGATGATTGTGAATTATGTGATGTAGGGCTTAAAGTATATATGTTTTATCTGTAGCTGTTTTGCTTGATGGGGGTGCCGCGGTTTGGATGGGCTGCAGCAGCAGGCTGCACTAGTGCATCTGGCATGTTTATATCGGGGGGGTTCAGCTGATGTGTGTTTTCTGATAATGTGCATGTCAAGTAAGTGTGTTGAAAGCCTTGCTCATGGTTATATGGCTCAAGAAAAGATGGCAGAGATGGCCGACTTAGTGGTGGACGCTCCCGGACAAATGGTGGTGGCGTCCGGAGTTTACGCCGCCTTGGGCGGCCTATATGAGGCTTGGGACGCGCAGAAGGACCTGAGAGAACAGTTTAGATTGGTGAAGCGGCTCTTGGTGGAGAAGCCTGCAGAGGGTAACTCTATCGAGACAACCGCTGCAGCAATCTCTCGCACGGCCGTGAACTTGCGCTTCAACAGCGCTGCAGTGGAGCCACTGTGCTGGAAGATGAACAATGCTCCTGAATCTGTGCCATGCATCGATGCATTGCACAAAGAGGTGCAGAAATTCCACAATGCACATGGTGTGCACTCAGACTTCAAGACCATCCAGGATGAAGCATGGAGTCTCAGGTATATGTTTGGCTTGGTCAAGCAATTGACGTACAAGCAAGGACCACCCAGAGACGCTTAATGTGCAGGTTCAGCATTTGTTTTATTTTTTGGGGTGGGAGATGCTATCTTTTTTTGCCTTCGACCTTTGAATTTGCAGCCTTTAAATGCATCTGATAAGGATTCCGTTTTCCTCTCGATGCTGAAGGCTTTTGGGGTGAACCTAGCGGAATGGAGGCCTGTAGCGAAACCACCTGCGGCTGCTAAGGACTGCCTTGGGCCACTGGGAGGTTACTTGTGGACCTTAAGATTCAAACTTAGATTAGTTTGATTGATAGTTTAGATATAGTCTCATAGTCTTACAATAGTTCGAAATTTAGATTGGTTTGCTTAAACTTGCATTAATAATAATTCCAAACCGTAAATCATGCAAAATTAGGAAAGGGTTTGAATGAGGCCCATTTAATTGTAGAATTTAGGTTAAATCTCACTTGAGAATTGCCCAGAATTTAGGATAAATCTCACTTGAGAATTTAGGATAAATCTCACTTGAGAATTTAGGATAAATCTCACTTGAGAATTTAGGATAAATCTCACTTAATTTAATAAGAGCAATGCCAATATAGTTTTTAATCTGACCTAATTTGAAGTCTTAATTAAATTTGAACTAAGCCCATTTAATTTAAACAATAATAATTAAAATAATATTTGAGCTAATCAAATTCAGCTTATAATCGCTAATCTAATCCCAATTTGAATTTTAACTAATCCCATTTAATTTAAATAAAATAGTTACATTTGAGATAATCCAATTTAGTTTATAATCTTAATCGAATCCAAATTTAAGTTCTAACTAATCCAGTTTAATTTGAATCAAAATAATTGAATTTAAGATAATCCAATTTAATTTGCAATCTTAATTGGATCTAAATTAATCACCCGCTGCGGCAGCGCCAAGACGAGCACGAAGAGGCTCAGAGGCTCCGCGATGTAGATCTTGGTCCTGACACAAGTTGCTGGTTGGGTGGGGTTTAAGGTTTAAAGGACCAATTTAGTTTAAATAATAGTAATTAAATTGGAGCTAGTCCAAATTAATCTATAATCTTAATCTAATCCCAAATTAATTTGAACTAATCTTATAATCATATTGTAGGTTTTGAATTAATCCCAGTCAATTTATAAGCTTGATAAAATTTGAACTAGTGAGCTTAATAAAATTTGAACTAGTCCCGATAAATTAATTGATCTTAATTAAATTAAACTAATTCTATTTAGTTTAAAATCTTAATTCAACTTGAACTAATCCCATTAAAATCTATAATCTTAATTAATTTTGAACTAATCCCATTTAATATTAATTTATACTTGTAATATTGTTAAATTTGAACTCATCCCATTTAATCGATAATCCTGTAAAATTGAAACTAATCCCAATTAATTTATAACCTGAATAAAAATTTGAACTAATCCCATTAACAATTGTAATTAAATTTGAACTAATCCCATTTAATTTTTTCTTAATTAAATTAAGAACTAAACCCATTGAAATCGTTAGTCTCACTTAAATTAGAACTAATGCTATTTAATCTAGAAATCATAATCTTAAAATATTTGAACTTAGACTATTTTAACTTTAACTGCAATTTAAACAACTATAGTTCCCTGATCCCATTAATGCCCTGAAAATTGATTCCCTCAGGCATCAGGAGCTTCGTCATCTTCACGATCGCTGCCATCATCGACCACTTCGTCACCAGCTGCTTCGCCAGTACCCAAAGCGGCGGACCCACCTGCAGGCACAATGGTTGTGGCCAAATGTCGGTCTGTGAGAAGTTCTGGTGTGAAGGGGCAACCTCCAGTGCCTAAATTGTCAGGGGGTTCTACTTTGGATGGACAATCTACGGTGCCTGCCACGAAAAGTGCTATGCCTCCGGTACCTCCCCCAACACCAACAAGTGTTCCTGCCACTGAACCTGTACATGCACATGGAGTGGTACCTACCTTGCCAAGACCTGCTGTGAAAGCTGCCGCCTCGATGATGGCTGCCCCAGCTGCTCCAGCAAAGGCTGGCCCAGTCATCCCAAGAGCCTCGCTGCTGGAACTGGCTGTGCGGAAGCAACACTTGGAAGAAATGCACCATGGCAGAAATTTAACAATAAAAATTTCACATGAATTATATTGATTTGTTTCTTAATTTGATTTAATCCCCACAATGTTACCATATGATTTCACTAGATTAGTAACCCTGCTTAGGCTGAAAGTGAAGAGAGATGCTGAAGCAGAAAGGGCACAACAGATTGCACAAGCTGCTGCTGAAAGACTTCAAGAACGCACAGGTTACTGCACTAGCATTAGTGGGTTTTTGTCTCCAAGAATTAGTGTGGGCTCTAATGCTTAAAAAAGAAGCAAATTAACTTAAAGGCCGTTTTTCTGTTGCAGGTTCTGCCACCGACTTGATGCAGACTCTGGACTTACCTGATGAGAGCATGGACTTGTGGGTGAAAGCTGCCCCTTCAAGCACTTCAGGTTCTTCGGCGACTACTGTGAAAGGTTTTGTTGCTTTGCCTCCTCCAAGTGCAGTCGCAGTGGCAGGGGCAAGTTTGATGGATGACAAGAAGGCACCGTCAGCTAATCCCCATCCTCAAAACGCAGTGGCACGGGCAGGAGCAAGTCTGATGGATGAGAAGAAGGCACCCTCGGTCAATCTGTCTCCTCCTAGTGCAGTGGCAGCGGCTGAGGCATCTTTGACAGATGAGAAGCTGGAAGAAGACAATGCTGAGGCACTTAGAAGGGCACAGCTGTCCATGCGTACGGAGCAGAAGGAGAAGGCAGAGAAGGCAAAGGAAGAAAAGAAAAAAAGCAAGGAGGACAAGGGTCAGAAGACAAAGACTGGTTCCAGACCAAAGGCAAAGGCAAAACCCAAGGGCCGACCTCGCAAAGGACCTGTCGAGGAAGAGGAGGCGCCTGCAAAAAAACGTAGAAAGAGGAAGTCAAAGAGGAATCTTGAGGCACCGCAGGATGAGGAACATCAAGATGCACCGCAGGCTGTGGAGGCTGAGCCACCTGCAAAGAAGCCAAAGAAAAAGAGGACCCGAGCTGCTTCTCGAGGCAAGCCAGCAGCTTGCACGGAGAATGCCTTGGATGAGGAAAAGGTGCAAAAGTTTTTGGATCTTTGCCGCAAGTATGATGCAACATCATACAACAGATCCACCGATACCTTGCACAAGCACGAAGTCCACCCGAAGTTGGTTTTGGTCCCCTACTTCACTCGCCCCGCTTGTGGTGTGAAGATCAAGTTGGCCGATGGCACCGTCACCCAAAGGATTTACATGTCAGGCAAATATGACACTGTGGCTGTGAACATCCAGCAGTGCATCTACCTGGCAGAGGAGTTGGGCCAACAGGATCCGGAGGCCTTTGTGGAGTGGTGTGCATCGGCAGATTGTCTCCAGAGAAGTGTGGAGCTGGAGCGCTGTGCCATGGCGGCGAAGCAGCGCTTTTTTGAGGAGAAGCGGAGGAAGGCCAACCATTGACCTCGTCCATCTTCAAGCAACTTTTGAGCGCAAGCTTCTGGGGTTTTGATGAAGTCCTAGCTCAACTTAGTTGACTCAACTTAGCGAAAATTTGATTTACACATAGTGGTCCTTGCTTCAATGATCTTCAAATTAACAAATTTATCCAAATAGAAATACATATCCCAACAAATTTCATAGTTTATGCTTCCTGCAAGGATCCCCGTGTGCCTGAGATACGATAGCCTACTCTGTGTTGACCTGGCGTGCAAAAAGAAATGCATGCTGACAGGGTGCAAGCAAGCTGCTTCAGCATTTAATTATTTTTAGAGTTCAACCTGTTTAAGATTGAATCTAAACACACCGGTTCAATATAACATTTCAACTTTAATCTTAGTTAAAGTTTAATTTAATCTCAAGATCTCAAGCTACTTGATCAACTTACTACATAAATTTCAATCTTTAAAGTCTGAGCTTAAACACAACTATTCTAATAATAAAGATGTCGACCTTAAAATCTTAAATCTAAACTTAATCTCATCAAGATTGGTTGAATTTGTTTTGCCAGGTCTGCCTTCTCCATGTGCAGCGGCTTCAGTGGCGATGGTGCTTCAGCGCTGAAGATCCAGCCCTTTGCCTCAGGTGCCGTGGATACTGGGCGGGGTCTTGTCGTTGCTGTCTTAATAGCTAAAATTACCATGTGCCTGGATGGCTCTGCATTTCCTGCAGTATTTCCTTTACTTATACTTTTTGGCTGGAATCGTGGGTAGACTCCGTCAACCCCGGTGGCGCGGCACGCCATGCCAAATGGAGATGGGGACGGCGGGAGCAGTGAAGAGCGCATGCATCCTGTCTTAATTTATTCCCTTTTTTTATCCACAAATAGATTTCAATACTTATTTTCAATGGCGTCCACTCACCAATCATGGGCACTATCCTGAGGGCTGGCATGGACGACGGGAAGGGCATGGGCAGCTGGCACATGCCGAAGGGCAAGGGGAAAGGAACTGGGCGACGACCTGTGCCACTAGGACCGCGACCCCACATGCCGCCTACAGTCCCCCCTCGCCCAAAGCTGATGCCAACCAGCGTTCGCCATGGTGGTGCTTGGATGCAATGCTTCCTATGGGTGCCTTTCCAACCTGGAGCTTCCCCTGCAATGCCTCCTCCGGTGTCTCCTTGTGGTCCTCCTCCACCTCCTCCCCCGCAAACCAGTGCCCCGACAACCCCGGCGCCGACCGCTGCTGCGGAAGCAGGAGTCCCAGAAGGCACTGGTCCTGCCGCCCGGGAGGAGATTGGTCACACTGGCCCTCTGGAATTGCCAACGGAGGAAGAGGATAATGACTATGCGGAAGAGGACTGTGGTTCCCAAACCTGTGTTTTTGAGCTCTTTTTTTTTGGTTCGATGTTGTTCATGTGTTGCGCGCACTTGCAATGTAGCAGGTGGATGCTAATAGCCCGCCAGATCTTGGCGATTCTGCTGTGCATCCAGAAACTGAAGAAAGGGATGCGGAACCCCACAGCACTTGGGCTATGAATTAGCTCATTTTAGTTTAATGTCCCTTTGTTTATAAAAAAAATATAAATTGTTTCTATGTAACATAGGTCATCCTATTTAATCATGCAACATTATAATATTTAGGCCTCAATCCAAGATAGTCCAAGTCAAAGCGAAAAAGGACATGTTCTTACCCTATATACAATGCAGCCCAGGTGCCTTGGGCCACATGAAGCCTCCGGAACCGGCACACCCACCTGGCCATGCAGCAGCGTCGGAGCCAGAACGGGAGCCTGCCCTACCAAAAGCAGCTGCGGCTGCACCTTCTCCTGCTGCAGAGGCTCCTGTTCCATTAAAAGCAGTTAATTTTTATGTAGAAAAATAATCCGTTTCTAATCAATCACCAGTTAAGCCTAATACATAAGAAGACTAACAACTCCACAGGACAATTGAATGTATGTTTCAATTATGCTAGTATGTTTTTTCCATGTTTTTATTTTTCGCCCATATTTTTTTCTCATGTGTGCTGAACCCAATGGAGGCCTCATTCCCACATGGACTTGGACCTCTACTGAGCTCAGCTGGGCTAGCTGGGATGATCCCTCCAGGCACTGAGCAAGCCCGGAACCTAACTGCCTTCGTGCACTTCCTAAACGAGCAAGGGTGGCAACTTGCTCCAAAAAGTGACTTGGGTTTAAGTTTTAAGTGAAAACTTTGAGTTCATCCTGTTGCAAGTGTCACTACACATAAAGTTCGGTTTATCCAACACCTGTTTTCAAAATAGTTGGGAAAGATTTCCACAACCCTAATATGTTTCGACCCTTAATGTCGTGATCAGTCAGGTGAATTACAAGTATATGGGAAATTAAAATGCCTAGGACCTTGTCCAATTTATATAATTTAAGTCAACTTTCAAATCATAATCAATCGAATTAATTCATTTAATTATATTCAATTTAATTATATTCAATTTAATTTAAGTTATTTAAGCTAATCTGCGCTGATTCAATTTATATAATTTATTAAGTTACCTTTCAAATCATAATCAATCGAATTAATAAATTTAATTATATTCAATTTAATTATATTCAATTTAATTTAAGTTATTCAAACTAATCTGCGCTTATTCAATTTATATAATTTAAGTTAACTTTCAAATCATAATCAATCGAATTAATCAATTTAATTATATTCAATTTAATTATATTCAACTCAATTTAAGTTATTCAAACTAATCTGCGCTTATTCAATTTATATAATTTAAGTTAACTTTCAAATCATTATCAATCGAATTAATCCATTTAATTATAATATATTCAATTCAATTATATTCAATTTAAATTATTTAAACTAATCTGCGCGCTGCTGATCCATGCAGGTGGACCACCACGACCAGAAGTTCCTTTGCTGCCAGCTGGGATGCCACGGCCGGACTCAGCGCCAGAATGTCGTCGACCGAGAACAATAATGGAAGCGACTCCAAAGGCTGCCAGCAGCAGGGCAAGGACGGTGGATCCTGCAGAAGAGCCAAAACGCGAAAAACGTCATCGTCATGACCGTGACCGTGACCGTGACAGAGATCGTTCTCGCAGGAAAGACAAGCCCCGGAGCCGGAGTTAGAAAATGTAATATTGAATGTGGGGGTATTGGAAATGAACTGAAATGAAAAGAAAGGCTAAGAAAATGTTCCACAAAATAAGCTCTTGTACTATCATTTTGTTTTGACGGACCCCCATGTTCATGGCAGTTGACAATTGCCACAAATGCCATGTGGCACGGCAGGAGATTTGCCGCAATCTTGAGGAAAAAGGAGTGCCACAGTGGAATCAATTTCGGGCAAATTACATGTTGAGTGCATCATGCATATTGCATATATTAATTTTGCGGTTGATTTTCTCCCTGGACAGGTGGCTATGGTGAAGGTTGCAGCTCGCTGTCGCCGAGTGCCTGCAGCCAGATGCCAGCGGCAACCTTTGCAGTGGCAGCCTTCTGAGCGGCAACCTTTGCAGCGGGCTCAACCACCTCAACCTCGGCAGCATGTGATTGGTGCGGCCGGCAAGTTGGTTTTGTATGCAAGTTCATTCTCATTAATGACATGTAATTCAGAGTCTCGGTTCCAGGTACTTCATATAAACTGAACCCATAATTCACACTAGTTTGTGATATTCATTAATGGCATACATTTGTAATTCAGAGTTTCGGCATCAGGGACTTCATATAAACTGGACCCACAAACCACGCTAGTTTGTATATTACATTGATTTAATTTATAATTTGATTGAAGTCACATATATTATAATAGTCAAGACGACTTAGATTCAATTTCATTAATTTCGCACCTGTTCGGGCCATGGCGCATTGGGCGGTGAAGACCGATGAGGAGCTCGACATGCTCTGTTTACGGTTGATGCTCCTTCGGGTGCCAAAGGAGCTGGGGTTTTACCCTTGAAACATTTTCTTTTACAAGTTGTTAAATTTTAAACAGTAATCCCCTCCAGAACCTTTTGTGCAAGCGTTTTTGTTCAAATCCCTGCAGGCATTTGTGTGGCTAACGGTGATGGTATACTACGCTCGCAATATGCCGGTAGTGCCTGAGGCCAGGCTGCTGAAAAAACAAACAATTATTTTTTACTTTATGGAAGCTGGCTCCCTGCAGGCATTTAGTCTGTGTGAGTTTTTTGCCGGAGATGGCCATGTCGGCAAAAGTGCGAAATTTGCTTATTACAGCACTGCCCAGCTGGACATCAACTACGGAAAGATGACTGTACGAAAAGGCAAGCAGAACAGCTTCGACATGACAACAGCAGCAGGCCTAGCGAGCCTCGTCAAACACTGAATAACACCATCAATTTTTCTGCGTTTGAAATTTCAAAGTGCAAAAAGAAAACAATACTTTGGGACATAATGTTGACCTCCCTTTGCTATTGAGGCTTTGCATATGGGTGCTCCTGAATGCCGACCCGTCTGGATTCCTGGCATTATTTGCTGTGGTTTGCACTTCCTTTTCTGCAATCAATGTTGGCACGAGCAAACGCACACCAGCTACTCCATGGGGAAACTGTGCTTTGCCTCATGTTCAGGCATTTTGGTCAGCAATTTAGATTTTGTTGTAACTTTTTGTGGAGTAGATTTGTGTTTTTCTTTGGTGTTTCGGGGCTTGCTTTGTGCTGATTGTTATAATTTAATTCTGAGGTTGGAAATTGTCTTCTTTCCAGAGTAGTGCTGCTACAGTATTTAGTTACATGTCTTGGCGGAACCTGGGCAACTGAGCAGCCATCGAGCTCGCGTTTGCCATGGTACCCCCGTTGGGAGGAATTTATGCTTCGGGTTCGTGCTTGGCGAGTAGGATGGTGGGCCAGGCACTATGGTGCCCTTAGCCCGCAGCTTGCAATGGTAAAAACAAGTAAATTTTCTGCAGTATGATGAAATCGGGATGCAATTGTATCAGCATTTTTTCACGGAAATTATTATTATTTTTTTGTGTGTTCTATGAACACCTTGCCAGGAAACGCCATCGAGCCTGGGCAAACAGCCAAGAGATTCACATATTGGACCGAGGTGTTCTCTCGAAGAAAGCACGTGCAGGTTGCGTCCTCAAGACTACAACCAAAACCAAGAAGGGAAACAAGACCCAATTCCAAGGCAATCGATGGCTGAAGGGCACGCAATCATATCCAATTTCATTTGGTCTTCGCATTCTGCGCTTCCTACCCCAACTCCAGAAACATGGACAAGGTCAACCAGTACTACCTGCAAAACCACCTGGTGGTTGGGATGCTCCAGCCCAATTCGAAGCCAAAGAGTGGAACCCACAGGAATGGTCTGAGGCATATCTACTTGAAGCTTGTAAATATGTGAGAGGCTCCACCAACCTTAGGGTTCCAGACCGGTGGAAGCGTGTTTTCCCAACAACCTACTGAGTTGAAAGATTTTTAGCAATTTGAAGGTAATTTTAAGGATTGCTAAAAGCATCATGTAACTCACAAAAATGTACCCGGAGAAATTCAAAAAGTTGCTCAAGGGGCCGGAGAAAATGCAACTACGAAGCGGAGAAAATACGTACCCGGACTCGTTGCGAGAATTTCCCGGACTAGTTGCGAGAAATAGCGGATTCGTTGCGAGAAAAAGTTGCGAGAAATAGCGGAGTTTGAGCATGTATCTCGTAATAAACGTGAAAAAAACACATGAGCATTTTTTGTGTTTTTGTGGTTTTTCTTGCCCAGAAACGCAGAAATATGCAAATTTGATGCCAAGCTTACGGACTTGGCCTATCCAAGGTGTTTTTGGCCCAAAGTGATAGATATGGTGTCTCGCTTTCAAAGCAGGTCCTGGTCGTGTTCAGAACTTGTTAGGGGTGCTGCACAAGTCGTTGATTCAATGGCTTCAATGTCTCCTGATGCCATGGTTGTCCAGCAGCGGCGCCACCTCTTGAGTGAGACGGCAGACCTTTCGGCAGACGAAGTCCAGAAACTCCTTGAGGAGCGACACTTATGTTAAGGTTTCATTAATTTAATTTAAACCACTTCAGTTTTTTCGACCGTTCCATGCAGTATGAATCCACATAAGATTTGTCAGACTTATGATGAGATAACCCAGACTTATGATGAGATAACCCAGTGTTTGTTTTAAATCAAAAGTAGTTTATATCAAAATTTAAAGTTGATGTTTCACCGATTAATGTTTGACACTTTGCTTAATGTAATAGTTTAAATTTAATTAATGCCTGGAATGAACTTATGTCTATCATTAATGTTCATAAAGATGATTTTTAAAATAAAATCCCATAATTAAAATGTAAAATTCAGATTAAATCATTATCGCACACCAGAACAAAAGTTAATTTAAATTAATTCATGGCGCAAGGAGACCAGTGTGCAGCTTGAGCAGCACGACATTGGAGATCACTTGCCTGAAGTCGAACCACAGCTGAATTTGTGGGTTGCTTCCCTGTTGATTGCTTCTTTTCATTGTGTTTTTTGTAGTATCTAAGGAACGCTGGCTGCATGTGAAACATGAGCAGCAAGAACAGATGCTGCTGGATATGATGCTTTCTGACCTGAAGAAGGTTGGAAAGCCTAACAAACCCAAATTTATACTGTGTGATATTTAAGTGGTAGGTTTCATGCATGTTAAATTCTTTTTGATCGATTAGCATGCTTACAGCTTACAATATTTATAATTAATTCACGGCCATGGCCGCCCTACAGGCCAGTGATGCTGCTGAAGCAGAAACTTTGCCAGTTGCAACACCTGCGAGATCTGGGCTTGCGCCTCCAGTTGTACCAAGTGATGACATGGGTGTGGCTTCAGGCCATGAGCACAAGCTGGCTGTCAAGAAAGAGACTGTGGAGCGTTCCAGTTCCAAGGCTGGGGGTTGAGCAAAACATGTCAAGGGGATTGAATTAATTTTCAACATGTCAAGGGGTTCAACATGTCAAGGGGTTTGAATTAATTTTCAACATGTCAAGGGGTTCAACATGTCAAGGGGTTTGAATTAATTTTCAACATCTCAAGGGGTTCAACATGTCAAGGGGTTCAACATGTCAAGGGGATTGAATTAATTTTCAACATCTCAAGGGGTTCAACATGTCAAGGGGATTGAATTAATTTTCAACATGTCAAGGGGTTCAACATGTCAAGGGGTTTGAATTAATGTTCAATATGTCAAGGGGTTCAACATGTCAAGGGGTTTGAATTAAGTTTCAACATGTCAAGGGGTTTGATTTAATTTTCAGCATAAGATATGTTCTTTCAACAATAATGTTGCAGGCGTCTTCGGCCTTTGTCGTGGCCTTGGATTCTGACGAGGAGATCCCTGATGAGGAGTGGCTGGAAGCAACCCAAAAGGACGATGACACGATGGATGAGGCCACTGCTAGGTTATTGCATGCTCCCACCCTGAGGCTTGGTGAGACCGATGAGGATGACGGCATTGCTACGCCTGTGGTGGATCATGGACATCCTGTGCCCTCCGATCATAGAGAGGACTCCGCTGAGATGAACGAGATGGAGCAAATGAGGCTTCAGAATCTAAAGATGGCAACGGAGCTGGCTGAGTTGCGACGACTCAAGTCCTCTTCCATGACTTCGCCCCCGAATCAAAAGCCAGTCTTCACACCAGATGCAACGCCTAGCTCTGCAAATGCTGCTAGCCCAGAGGCTGGTTTAGCAGATGCACCTGAAGGCATGCTGAAGCTTGGGGAGGAAGGCCTGGCGGAGGAGATGGACTTGTCAAGGACATGGCAGTGATTGCGGAAACTAGTTCGAATATAAACTTAAGACTTATATTCGTTATATGAATGAAAATAAAGCCTCAATCTATCTTAGGTTAATTAAGGTGTTAGTTTGAATCCACCCTTACAAGTCCCTGAAATTCCCTGAACGTGCTTGAGCCTGTCATGGAAAAATAACACTTAACACCACTAATAAACATTATTGGAAACTTGTTTGTTGATAAGTTGGAAAAGCACATCATAAAGCAGGAACTGACGCCGCATGCGCTCTATATGAGACTCAAGCGGCTGTGCTCGAAAACGGGAACTGGCCGATTGAACGTGTCCCAGGATATCCACCAGGAATGGATGACTGGCGACAGAGATATGCTTTCTTTGGCGCTGGTTCGTGCGCTCAAAACGCATGGGTTTGAAAGCACGACCAATTCCCGGAAACTGGTGAAGGCCATGGGTGATGAAAGTTAATTATATTAACTCATGAGTTTTAATCCCTATCCCTGGAGGACGAGTTCCAGAAGCAGGTCTTGCGCATCAAGGAGACGCAGCGCTCCAAAGAAGAAGAAGTGGAGGGGGGCTGGTACACCGAGGAGCGCATGCAGAAGGAGCTCTCATACTCAGCGTATCTTGGGTAAATCCAATCGCAAGCTTTTGTTTTTTGGTTGTCAAGATTGATTGTTCAACACTGGTTTTTCAATTCATCCTGAGGTCTTTGATCTCGAAAATCAAAGCTTACTGTTTGCGCTTCAAAAGCGTCTTGGTGAGGACTGCTGGCATTTGTCACTCCATAACATGCTTGCTTTCTCAATCCAACATTCTTGCTTTCAGGATATTTTTAAACCCATAACATGCATGTTTTCAAAATTTAAGTTACAACCTTTAAGTCTGAACTAGGCTGAGGCTTAATTAATATTGTTAAATTATAATAGTTTAACTTGCAGATCTTAAGGCCCTATAGTTACTGCTCTGAACTCAGGGCTATGTTATAAGATCTATGGCAGTGAAACTTCAGATTAATGTTACTTTATGTTACTTTATTTAAAATCGTAACTCAAATCTGTCAATCAGTCAAACTCGAGATTGATCTAACTTTAAGTTAAGACATTTAAGTCTGAACAAGGTAAGGCTGAGACTTAATTAATTTAAATTAAAATAGTTTAACTTGTAGATCTTAAGGCCATAATTACTACTCTGAACTCAGGACTATGTTACTTCACCAATTCGTAAATAAGATCTATCAGCCAGTGAAGCTGCTTACATTAGCTTACTTTATTTTTCAACCGTAACTCAAATTTCTATCAATCAGTGAAACTCAAGATTATCATCTAACTTTACGTTAAAACCTTTATAATTCTTGATAAGATAATGCCGAGACTTATAACTATTTTAATTTATAGTTTGAGTTACAGATCTTAAGGCTATAAGTTGCTGCTCTGAACTCCGGGCTTTCATGGTGGATCATAGCAGGTCGCTTTCAAACCAGTAATTTGTGAGAAAATAAGAAGGAACATGCGAGCACTAATCAATCTTAAAGATGAAATAGTTTAGTTTCATATTATCTTCATCGCAGGGTCAGCTTAATTAACATTTTGTTTCATGAAAATGACTTAGTAGGATTACATCTTGCAGTTCACTTAGAAGCACACCTGCAGGAACTGGAAGTATGACAGCAACATCCAAGAGTTCTTCGTTGAAACGGCTGACACTGTCAAGGTTCGACGTTCCGAGCTGGAGCGCTGGCAAGAAGCTGAGGAAATCGGTGAGAAGGACCTTTTGCAAACTGTTTTTTCTCAGGTTAGAAACTGACAAAAGGTGCTATCACAAAAGGATTGTTTTGTCCTTGGAGGACCTCCCTGCTTCGAAGCCAGAACAAATGGCTTTGATGGACACGCGTGGAGTTCAAGAGGGTGAACCTGGGAAAGTAGGGGCTCTGCAATGTGGAACGCTTGATGAAATGAAGGAACAAATGAAGCAGTTTACAGAGTCCGTGCATCAGAAGGCGAGCTCGGTGGTCAGTTGGGTCAGCCAACTTGAAGGTGGCTCTGCGGATAATTCCAGGTTGCAAAAGCTCCTTGGCTTCTTCATAGTTTCCTAAAATAGTGATCTGGGATACTCCGAAATCATCATTTTTTATAGGATCATTTGGTTAACCAACCATTGGGATATTTCGTCCCCATTTCACATTGAATTTTGCTTGACCCCCAAACTTTATCATTTCCATATCCTTTCGATCTCCTGTTCACACTTCTGCCAGGTTTCTGGCCGACATGCGTGGATTAATTGACTCTTTTGATGGGGCTTTCTTGAAGCTTGCTGAATCACAGCATGCGCTGGATGCTGGCACCATGCCTCTGGATGAGTTTCTTGCTACGACCAAACTGTTTTTATTTGGTACTTTACATTGCCCTGAGTTCAGGTAGAAGCGAACTTGTATATGATGTTCGATACTATTTTTATTTGGTACTTTAAATTGCCCTGAGTTCAGGTTGCAGAAGAAGTTCACAGATGCGAAGGAGTCTGCTCGCAATCCGTAGCCTGGCAAAAACGATGCATCTTTTCAAATATGATACCATGCACGGTCAAAAAATAGGAAACCATCGCTTAAACTACAACCCCACCACCCCCCCCAAAAAAAAATTACGCCGCAGGTGCATCAAGATCATGGCTGCCGAGCACACGTTCAAATTGCTCTTGGCCGAGACGAAGAAAGGCAATGGCAATGGCAGCAAGCGTCCTCGTTCTGATGATCAGGTTGCCCCTCAGGTTGCGGAGACCAAGCTGCCGAAGTCCAGGAAGGGTACCAAGGCCAACAAGAACAAAAATGCGTCAACGTAAAATGATGTAAAATGCACCTTCTATAGCCTGGACACCTTCCTGCTTGAAATAGCAGGTGCGTGGGTAGTGATAGCAGAGTTTAGTTAGCAGCAGCTGCAGGTAAAACAACTCAAGGCAAATGGTTAACAAATCCCTATCAGCAAGCCGCAGCATCAGCACCAAACAAAAAAAACGTGTGTGTGTGTGTGATGTGTGCAGCTGTTTGTTTCGGCTCTGCTGTTCACAGCAATGGGGAACTTTTGGCTGTGACCATATGGCCAGCTAATCTTGGAATCAGTACCTATCCTGCTACAATACTAGCGGGCGTGTGCTTCATGTGATCTCTGCGCAGAAGCTTGCTGTGAAAAAGTTAAACAAGTTGACTTGAGCATTGCAACAACGACTATTTTTGAAACTCACCGGAACGACTTCACCTACTGAAATCACATGCCAGGTAAGTTTGCAAAGCGCTGTCAAGTAGCTGGCCCTAGCAGCACTGCTATAAGTCTTGCCCGGAGTTTGGGGAGAGGTGTTGCTTGGAAGCATGAAGGTGGGGGGGAAATGACTCAGCCCGCAGTGAAACCTTTATCCCAAAATCACTTAACTTATCTCAAATGATTCAAACTAGAACTGATAACTTAAATAAAATTGTAGTTGCATGGAACAAGTAGGCTTAGAACTGAGCCCTTCGAAGTCTTAAGCCCCTTAAAGTCTTAAGCCCTAACTATAGACTTCAACTAATCTCAGCCCCTTACAGTCTCAAACCCTAAGATTTAAACTTCAATTTATGTCAACTCTTTAAAGTCTTAAGCCCTATTAAGCTTTAATTTATCTCAGCCCCTGAAAGTGTTAAGCCCTAACTATAAACTTCAATTTATCTCAGACCCTGAAAGTGGTAAGCCCTAACTGTACACTTCAATTTATCTCAGCCCCTGAACGTGTTAAGCCCTTACTTATACACTTAGGGTTAAAGACCTTGAGGGTCAAAGGATGTAGGTTTCGAAGATTAAAATTAATCCGTAAAGAATCTTGAGGCTTAAGGATTACCGGATTTCAGGGTTAATTATATTAATTAATAACCACATTATAGCCGCTATATTTCAGCTGGTTCAAGGTCCTCCTCGGTCGCTGTCTGTTCCCTGTTTAGCTTTGCCTACGATGGTCCTCACAGTGGGGAAGTGGATGCACGAAGGTTCCGACCGAGGAAGCGAATGGCTTCTTACTGACTCGGATACGAAGCGTTGCTACTTCAGCCGGAGGACGAAGACTGGCAAGCTGGCATGTGGAGCACAGGGCACCTTCGAATCCGCAGATGATTGGTTGAAGCTGATGGAGTTCGCCTGTGCATCCGACAGCCACATTAAAAGGAGAACCCTCACTTTCCGCCAGATCAGTGGCTCGGATCAATGGGTGGAGCAATGTTCTGCGACCAGGCGAATCCTTTGGGTCGGTTGGATAGACCTCCACCTTATGAGGGTCTTTTGGTCTCCTACGGTTCACAACTTCAGCAGATGGCAGTTCCAGATGGTGCAAGGTCAGTTTGTGGCCGAGGTCCTTCGATGGCTTGATCCGGACTTTGAGATGGAGGAGCGTGCTGCGGATGGAACCCACGACGATGAGTGGCACATTGTCACTGAGGTTTAGGTTTAGGACCAAAGTGTCCATATCTTGGCCGAGCAATCTCTTTAGAAGAGATGGAATACCCTGCTGAACCGTTCAGGGGCCACGGAATCGCACTTTTTCACCTGCATGCTAAATGGCATTGGTGAGTGCTTCTTTACCAGCTTTGAAATGAGTGATCTTATGAGTTTAGGACAACTGTCCATATCTTGGCCGAGGCATCTCTTTAGAAGAGATATGGAATACCCTGCAGAACCGTTCAGGGGCCACGGAATCGCACTTTTTCACCAGCTAAATGGCATCGGTGAGTGCTTCTTTACCAGCTTTGAAATGAGTGAAAAAATGAGAGTGCCATTCACTGAAGTTCGCGGCTCTTTTACCTTTAAAAGTTGGATAGATCAATGATGCTTGACTTATAGTTGAATTCCTGTTGATTTTTCAGCTCCGACTGAGGCTCCTGCAATCCAACTTGCAGAACGTGCAAAAGCAGTTCTGGAGGACGACAAGAGGCTTGGGATCAACCGAGATGACAAGGTGTTGCAGAGACTTGCCCGAGGGTCTCAACATGCAGCACCTGCACTTAATTAACAGCATTTTTTTCAATAAATGGTGTCTCTGCATTTTCTTTCCTTCAAAACTTATTGTCGCTGAAGGCACGGGAATGCTTCAAAGCCTTGGATGAGGCAGCTTTGAGATTGCCGGTGCCTATGAGCTATGGTAAAGTTGGTGGTGATCAACGCTACTTTGTCGCACTGTTAAAACCAATTCCCTCATGTTTGTTTTGCTCCAAGTTTGGTTTGTCATGGTTGATCCTTATTGTTTTCCAGCATTCTGTCCTTGCTCCATTGTTTTTGCAGGTTACCCATGGCTCAAGCCAAGTGATATGATTCGAGCTCTACATCGCTGGAATCAGTTGGGATACATCCTGCCAGAGTCTACCTTGGAGGCTTCGAAGCAGCACCTGGCCATTTATTGGGACCGATTTCGGAAACTTTACCCGGACCACGAGATCTTCGACATCCTCACCAACGACCAGCTCCAGCTGACTCTGCCGGTGAAAATTCATGGAGATGAAGGAAGAAGACCCTTATATTTTGCAAAGGTTATAGTTTAGTTTGTTTGTTTGTTTGGGTTCCTAGAAGTATAGCCTATAGGTATAAAGCTTCTGCTCTGCAGGCAAAAAGAAGTCACCAATTATGCTGATCAACTGGCAGCCAGTACTTGGCCGAGGGACAAGCAAGACTGCTAGCCTCCCTGAGAAAGAGCAGGTTGCAGGCCAACGCTTGAACATGTTGCTTTGGTTGCAACTGGAAATCGATGTGTGCCCCCAAGCGTTTTTTTTTTTTTTACGACCATGTGAATTTGCCCATTACAACCATCATGCAGGCTTGGACATTGTGTTTCATGGCTTGCGCATGTCGATTTTTATTTGATGTTGACCTTTTTTGCCTTGGGCATGAACCCCACATAATTGATGTAATTTCTTTCGCAATACTGCTGGCTGCCTCAGGAATTGTGTCGCTTTCTGTCGTTTGCAGCGCTGAAAGAGACTTACTTCGATTGTCCGGAAGCTTTGGACGATGGGATGCGGCTTGTAGCTTCTGATCTAGACAATTTGATGAGACATGGACTAGAACTTCGGTTTGGAGAAGCCTTGGAGACCTTCCGTCTTGGAGTGACAGGGGTCAAGGGCGACTGGCCATGGCTCATTGAGGCTGGACACCTTTGCAGACACTTCAGAAGAGCCCCGAAGATGGGAGAATCGACGATGGAGGCTGGTGGAGTGTGCCATCTATGTCTTGGAGGAGTGCGCGATTTTCCTTTCGAAGATTTTGGATCATCTCCCAGCTTTGAAGCGACCATGTACAGCGCAGCGGCTTCTTGGCTTAAATATTCCAGCAATGGCTCATGGCTCTTTAGGTTCGACCATGCTACAGAAATTCTGAGGCACAAGCTCCTTGGGACTCTATCTCTCCTTTCGTGGAGATGCTGCCAAGTCAGACAGGCATGCCTGGTTGGCTATTTCGCCCGGACATCTTCCACAACTGGCATTTAGGTGCTGGAAAGTACTTTATAGCGAGCTCATTGGTGGTCTTGCAAAAGTTTGAGATGCTTTTTCCAGGTGGTGGTGTGGATGCCAGGTTCCAATCTATGACAGCTCGATGGATGGAATATTGCAGGTCCAGGAAAGATGCTCATTAAAAAGTATAGTTCTATTTTTTTATAATATGTGTTATGTATTTTTGGGCACTGATAGGTTGGATTTTGCTTTTGCATTTTTATTTGTTTCCTTTGTCTTTGTTTGGCATTGAGGAACGCCCCTACCTGACCAAAATTGGGCGTGACACTATGGGTTTTAAAACATCCTTGGACTGGCCTGAAGGAGGATGGCAAAAAGGTGCAACGACCACCTTGCTCATGGAAACTTGGGTATTATATAAATCAAGCATGCTAAACTCACTAAGCTTTTTTAAATTAACTTATAATTATAACTTAACTTGAACATAAACCCACGGGAGAAACTATAAATTTGATCACAATTGAGTCTCTTGACTTTAAATGTGTTTTAAACAATCTTTATGTGTTACTTAAGCTGGCTTGTGTACCAAGAATGTTTAAAATGTGTGAACAACTTAAGGAATGGATGGAAAGCTTCCTGACCGATGATGTGGTTAACCATTTGGCCGACCTTGACGCCAGAGTTCCCTTGATTGCAGTGGTCACCCGGAACACCAATGAGCTTTTCAGGTTGCTTTACAGCAATGGAGCCTGGCTACATTGCACCATTGCGGCAGAAGTTGCTCGCAGGGGTTTGCTGTCTGTGCGTGCCAACAAGAGATTGGCTCAGGTTTCTGTCCAGCTTTGTGAGCCTAGGTACCCAATACATCCTAAGCTGCATATGCTTTTCCATGGCTACCGCTTTTTAGAACAGTGGAGCCTGGATCATGAGTGGTGTGAATCACCATTGGTCGACGGGTGTCAGGTCGACGAGTCTTTTGTTGGAGTGATAAGTAGGTATTCTAGACGAGTATCTCCAAAGATTACTGTCCAAAGGACATATGATCTCTACTTGACCTCTATGAGGCATCATGTACAGGGGGATGATCAAAATTAGGGGAAAGAAAAAGAGTTGCGAGAATCCCTGGCTGTTGCGAGAATCCCCCAATCAACCCGGAGAATTGCGAGAAATCTGAAAAATTGTTTCTTTTTTCGGGAGGAGTAACTATTCTTGCAATTTTGGCTATGTTGGTATATATATTTATCATATATATATATAATTATATATCATATTTATATATATAATTATATATCATATATATAATATATATATATCATGATGCAGTCATCATGATACACATCTCATCAGCTCTCATGCTTTGCATATCGCCAGGTGAAGCCTAAACCGAAGTCAGGGATCTCCAGTCAGGGCGTGCCTCCAGTCAGGTCTTAGCTGTGGGATGCGGCTACTTTCCCAGGAAATTACGCTGTGGTAAACATACAAAAAACTATGGAAAATCATAGGAAAACCATAGGAAAATGGTGGTTATACCCTCTGGTAAACTAACATAACTATGGAAAATCACCATTTTTCATGGGAAAATCCACTATTTATATGGCCATGTTCAATAGCTATGTTAGTCATTCCCAGAGGGTATCTATTTTGATGATTTTTTCATGATAGAACATCGATTCATGAGGAAAAATAATTGTCCATGCTCTGGTAATTTAACATAGCTATTGAAAATGAACCATTTATAGTTGATTTACCTATTATGAATGGTGATTTTCCATACCTATGTTAGTTTACCAGAGGTTAATTTGCTTGAAGTCTTAGTGACGATTTATGGTTCCACCCATTTCAACCAACTTCAGGGTGCCAGCGGTGCCATCAACACGTGTGGATCAATATGTGGATCAGTAGTCCTTGCTTCGGGCTTTTGGTTGGTGTATACTAGGTGTATGTTGCAAAAGTCATGTTTTTTTTGATGGTCCAGCATCCAAAAAACAAGTTCTATGATAATATGATGCATCATAATGCATCCTTCAATTGGACCAATGTGTTTGGAATCAGATGTTCCGTCCTTGTGCTTAGTTTTTAAATCTTGTCATTGGGGGTCCTGGCGATGATTGGTCGAAATTTCAGACCTGTTGAAACTTGCTTGGGTCATCATTTACTTTTGTACATTTTTGTACCTATTGTATGTATTTTGTAGTTCATACCGCAAAGGAAACATCCAGTGGATGTGTCTTAGTCGGGGCAACCCTGGGCTGACCATCCCTGTCCATATCTTTGAAATGCTGGGCTTCTGCAGGGCACACCCGCAGGGCGAAAGGCTGCATCAGATTTGATATATAATAGTAAATTACAATATTATATGTTATGTGTATCTCTATATATATATATGACTATAATAATGATTGTATGTTTGATATATTATGTAGATATATGTGTGTGATATTTCAGGATATTTCCTTTTGAGCGTCCTTTCAAGAAGTCGTCCGAGTCACGAGCCAGTCTGGCTGCTAATGGAGATGGTGCCGCCAGATTGCCGGAAGGGCAATCCCCAAGTTCCCAAGTTCATCCATGTTTCGTTCATCCATGCACTTTAGTGACTTTAGTGTCACTCAACATCACTCGACCCCTTTAGTTGAAACAGAAAAGATCTGATCTGAGTGGATTTGAGCTAGATCCAAGAGTTGGAAAGATTGGAAAGGTGGACAGAAAATCAACACATCCTTAATTTCGGAACATTGTCTCTTTCTTGTCTGGTTGGTGGTTTCAATCATTTTTTATTTTCCATTTCATATATGGGATGTCATCCTTCCCATTGACTTTCATATTTTTCAGAGGGGTAGGTCAACCACCAACCTGTTGTTCACGGGCAAAGCAACAGAAGATGCGGACGAACATCTCATTTTTGCTTAGACCACCAAGGCTGAGCTCCGAAGGCCGAAGCACGGCCAAGCGGAGGTGTGATTTGGCGGTGTGCTATGCGAGAGGTGATGAGGAAAAACATCTCATGTTTTTGGGGAAAAAAGTGTAGCAGTTGTTGACCAAAGAGCTGTTTTTGTTGTTCAAACAAGTTGATGAATGTGGACTTTTACCCTCTGGTAAATTAACATAGACCCTGGCAGATAGGGGTTGGAAGACTAGTTTCCATTAAAAATTGGTGATTTTCAGGGTCTATGTTTATTTACCAGAGGGTAAATGGACAATTTCATGTTGGGTTTGTAGACTGAGATGAGTTGAATTGACAATATCAGTTCCACAGGAACTCTGCAGGCACAAAGGTTCGGATGAAGGTCGTCACTCCAAGGATGATGAAAAGTCTGGTAGATCAATTCAATTGGGACTCTGATTCCCAATTTGGGTACTGCCAACCTATTATATTGAAAGTATTTACCCTCTGGTTATGTCTAACAGTTCGCCATGGTATAGATGGCCCTAATCGAAATAGATGATTTTCCCAGCTAGAACTCTCCATTTATGGTTGGGATTTTCCTATGGCTATGTTAGTCATAACCAGAGGGTAATAAATTCTCGGGTATGGGCTTAATGAACCGCCCCTTCGGAGGCTGTTGACCTGCTGACCTGAATATGCTATTCAGAGTTTTTTGAACCACCAAAATAGGCTTCCTTCACATGGAACAAATTGCAGGTAACCCTACAAAACAGGGGGGTACAAAACAGGGTTTCCTCTAAAGTTTGTCATAAACCTTCATAAACATAGGCATTTCACAAAACCTGATATCCCAGCCCAACGATAGCTGCTTAAGATTCGCCCTCAACGTGGTTGTTGGCCCCACCAACCCATCCCCGTTCAGAAACCAAGACCTTGCTGCCATCCTGCCAGTATCATCGAGAGTCGAGAGCGTCCCAAGGGCGATTCCGGACCCGGAGGACCGGGAGCCAGCAGAATTTGAAAAGAGTCTGGTGTGGATTTAGCCAGCAATGTTTGACTGGTTGGTGGTTTGGAATATTTTTTATGACTCCATTCAGTTGGGAATGTCATCATCCCAACTGACGAAGTCATATTTTTCAGAGGGGTAGGTATATCACCAACCAGATGAAGATTGTTGATTAAAACATGATTCAACTCATTCCTGGTGAATTCTTGAAAAGCAAACAACACCTGTAATTTTCAAAGGAATATGCAATATTATTATACATGATGTGCAAATATGTGCAACATCTATATATATATATATTTACATATTATGTATATATATATGATTTATGTTTGTACACATGAGCCCTAAAAGAGATTCGATTGTTTAACTGGTGCTTTGGCTAGGGTCCAAATATGTCCCAATGACCAACTTAAACAGGTTTTCAGTGGGGCGATGGCGGCGAAGACAAGGCGGCCCCCCAGTTGCAAGTAGCTTTAAAAACCATAGAGTTACTATATATATATATATATACCCTGTGGTAAACTAACATAGCTATTGAAAATTGCCATTTATAGTGAGTTTTCCCATTAAAAATGGTGATTTTCCATAGCTATGTTAGTTTACCAGATTATATTATATATATGTATACAAGGTGGTGCCCCCCCCCGTTATAAATTGGTGAAATAAGCCCATGAATACTATAGATATATCACCTACAACCCATAGTTATTGGAGTTATGTTCACCAACTTAGCTATCGAACGGGGGCACCACCTTGTATACATACAGATATATGTCCACAATAAACCCACCAGTTATTGGAGATACTATGTATCCTAACTTGTTGTGATTCCAAAGTGGTGCAGCACCCATCAGATCAGGGTCGAAAGTCGAGGATTTCCTCCCACACTCCGAGCACCCCCCAGTGGAAGGCCAGGGACCCAGAGAGATGTGACATCCAGGTGGTGAATGTTTGACTGGGAGGTTGATATTGAAGGGACACGTGGTGAGTTTGGTATAACTCCAAAAGCTGGAACAAATCAAGCCTATAGATCCAGTGGTTTTTCTAAACTCAGTGAGAGACATACAGTAAATATCCACATCTTTGTTGAACCCGCGGGGCATGTTCAAAAATGCTAACATACCTTTTCAACAGAACGATCTGCCTTGCCATGCCTTGCCCCTCTCAGGAGAAAATAGAATTCAAGTGGGATGCACATCTATAGGACGATGCAGCTGACCTTTAAAGGATTTGGGGTCCAATCATGGCTTGACTGGTACCCACATCTGAAGAAATGGTCCAAACAGACATTCTTCATCACGAAATCACTAAAGCCATGTCCAAATATATCCAATAAAGCAGCTCCAGCATGAGCAAACATACCACACAAATCGGAAAATAATTAAACTTATAGAGTCAATCCTTCGATGTTTAAGTCCCAGCCTTGGTGTTCAGGGAACACCGGAATTCCCAATGAATTTGGATGTTGCCCTCTGGTAAACATACAAAAAACTATGGAAAATCACAATTTTGAATGGGAAAACTCACTATTTCTATGGCCATGTTCAATACCCTCTGGTAAACTAACATAGCTATTGATAATGGCCATTTATAGTGGATTTACCCATCAAAAATAATGATTTTCCATAGCTATGTTAGTTTACCAGAGGGTAACTATGTTACTTTTCCATAGGGTAACACCCAGCCAGTTTCGTAGATTTGCCCCCCTCGCTGCATGGGGCGCCGGTCGCCGACGCTCCGATGGCGATCGCTCCGATGGCGGGTCACGGTGCTGGCAACGGTGGTGACTTTGACCGAGCCTGGAGGGGGTGCCGTGACCTACCCCCGGTTGATTGGTGGGATGTTAACGGGTTAACCATCATGGAACATGGAAAAATATAGGTTTAATGGTGGTTTAATGGTGGTTTAATGGTGGTTTAATGGGCTTGTGATGGCTGGTTGGTGGTTTCAAACCATGGATGTTTATTTTCCATTTCATATATGGGATGTCATCCTTCACATCGACGAACTCATATTTTCAGGATGGGCACATTGCACCACCAAGCAGTTTATATGGGGTTTTAGCCACTGAATATTGGTATTCATGGGGAAATGATTGATAATGATGATTTGTTGATGAATCTTGTTCGTCATTTGATGGTTTTAACCATCAAACATTATCGAAGTATGGGGTTAGAAGTGGATACCCTCTGGTAAACTAAC